GTTTGAAAACAGAGTTGTAAACCTATGTTTTAGTTATGTTAACAAAAAACAAACTGACTTTATAAAACACATTTATTGTTTGTTTTCGTGAAAATTAACCATTTAATAACTGTTTTATAATTCTCACATTTCTCTTGCTTAAATAGTTGACAAGCTCACCAGAATATTGACATTTTGTTTGCTCCGTGTTTGAGAAACTCTCGACAGAATAATGACATTTCAGTTTGTTTCGTGTTGAGAAACTTTCGCCAGAATAATGACATTTCAGTTTGTTTCGTGTTGTGAAACTCTAGCCAGAATACAGACAAACATTTCAGTTTGTTTCGTGTTGTGAAACTCTAGCCAGAATACAGACAAACATTTCAGTTTGTTTCGTGTTGAGAAACTCTAGCCAGAATACAGACAAACGTTTCAGTTTGTTTCGTGTTGGGAAATTCTTGTTTTATAGCTTCACATAAGTTGGATTTGTATGAATAAAGATAACCACATCCAATATGCTCCTAAGCTTTTAGAGATGACGCTAAACAGACACAGACCCTCAGTGGCCAAGTATGCCCATTACACACCTTTCTCACCTATACCTTGTTTTTATGATAGGTGGTTTGGAATACGTTATACATCGTCTAAACTTGTTCAAGGCACCGTACTTATATAAATGTTTATGTGAACTTAAATAACAAGAATATATTCGTACTCTACAAGACAGGCAACATGGCTAAATAGTCACTGTTTCAGTGTGTGAGGTAGATCAACATTTCAAGTATAGTTGTAACGTGGTATAAATGTGCTTGTATCGTAGCTTGCAGTTTATAATTTAAAATAACTGTATCCAAGGTCTCATAACGGCTAGAATGGTGCTAAAATCGCATTTAGAAATATCACATAACGTACGTTTTTATTCTCAGTTTAAAATAACGTGTATATCAGACGTACGAGTTTCATATCAACAACACCAGAACGCTAACATCACGACCTACATATTGCATAGTGTACGTTTTTATTCCCAGTTTAAAATAACGTGTATATCAGACCTACGAGTTTCATATCAACAACACCAAAACTCTAACATCACGATATAAATATTGCATAGTGTACGTTTTTATTCCCAGTTTAAAATAACGTGTATAAAGCTATACTTCAAAACTATAGATGGTAAATATGTAAAATGTTATTGAAAGATATCGTTAAAAATTACTATTGTGTCATTGTTGATATTATCACTGTATTATTATACACGAATGATAAAATCAGACAACTTTCTAGCCGTTTTAAAGGGGGTAAAAGTGTTATTTAAGGATGCTGTTAATGCTTGGTAGCGTGGACAACGTTTAATTCTTTGCTCTACAACCTCAATATAAACAAACCAAAACGCCCTACTCTTGAGAAAGAGGCATTCCTTCAAAATAAGATAAAAACAATCTCAAAAACAATGGATTCAGTGACCTAGAGGTTCATAACTATGCTAATGTATGCGAAGTTTTGGCGTAGCTTTTAATTTGTTCTACAAAGAGTTATGTTTTAGCTATAGATGCTAATTAGTATAAATAACAAAGAAGGTATATAATATCGTTTAAACTTTAACTGATCTCTGATATATGTCACAAAGTTCTTAAACCTATTTCTAAGGTAATGTAGTTTGAAATATCCAAGTCATTGGTGCTGTCATGGCGGTATTCTGTTCAACGATATCATTCTCATAGAACTCTCTGTGTGTGAATAACCTAAGTTTTCAGAATTGACTGAACTGCGTGTGGGTTTACGATATAACGATTGTTGAAATTGCGGTTTGTTCTTCTTAGAAACGTTTAAATTTGTGTGTAGATGATGTGTCGAATAACGCACAACCGAAGTTACGTAAAGAACTTTGATATGACCTTTAAAAAAATAGAGACTTTTACATATAAGTTAAGATATATATAGACTAGGCTGTAGGATTTTCACCAGAGCTATACTGAGTTGATTTTGTCACGTGCGAAGGCTGCTATCAGGCCTAGGTCAGAGTTCTAAAGAACCTTCGAAGCTCAATAGTTTGGGAATAAAATCAATAAGGTATGCATGTTCAAAACGGCCAACTGTCCTATAAGAAGATTCCAGACTTGAGAATAAATATATTCTGACTGTGCTTCATGCCCATCTTTATAGTAAGCGACGAATTAAAATAAAAAAGCTGTGAAGGTATTTATACCATGTTTCTTATTTTTTCGGTAAGTATTATTGTTTATGGGCTTCTTCTCCTGCATCTACAGCATTTTTTGTTAGTTAAGCTCCTTTCTAAGCTAAAATTGAATTTGTTGTTATTATAAATGAACAAACTTGTACTGTGCTCATCTGTATATGATCGACACCTTGATATGTAAGGACGTCAGATGACACCTTACTAACCACATATTTTTAGAGACAGGGTGTTTTCTAAAGGGGTCCTACTGCCAAAAGTTCTCCAAGAGTGTTTATATTAACACATGAACTTACAGCTGTTGTGGTGCTAATTTTTCTACTCATTGGAAGAGTTTTAAACTATTTTAGAACGTTGGATGTATGTTTTTCTCAGTCAATAGAGCATGCGCAAGTTTAAATTAAGGGAAAGCAAAACAAATGTGATGACGTAATACACGTGAGAAGTCTAATTTTAGAAACATTATAATACTAATATTTGGACTGTTATATCGCGCTTGTGTTCCCGAACTAATTTTATTACCGATAATTTCGGAATGCAGTGTAATATTTCCATTAGTTAAACTCTAATGTTGTAATAATTACACAGTCGTCAGTAGTGTTATGGCCTTCGACGTATCGTAGTGCAGAGGATATAATCATTACCATAACGTGGTCTTGGATGTACCGCATTGCAGAAGCCATAGCCGTTACAGTATCAGAGTATTGGACGTTCAGTATAGCCATAGCATTAACACAGTCTTGGAAGTACAGTAGTGCAGCGTCCATTACCATTACACTGTCAGATATTTTGATGTACCGTAGCGTAGAGGTAGTATCCATTATACCGGTATCAGAGATTTGGGCGTATCGTAATGTAAAGACTATTGCCATTACAGTAACATGGGCTTAGGCAAATTTTAAACATATTGTAATATTGTTACCTGTAAATATAATTACTCTGTACAGATTAATGGAGTCAACCAAAGTACCATTACTATCTATGAATTTCAGTGATAAACAATTTGTTTAAAGTCTCAGATAATTATTTGTAACTTCTTATAAATATACTTTTAAATAAAATATATACAAATTATTTTGTGTTTGAGACTCGCTGGAATATATAATATTTGTACATACATGTGTAAATATGTTTAAACATAGGAAAATATTACATCTTTCCATCACTAGTTCACGATTCTGTCTCTTGTAGTGATGTTGATTTGTTTTTCTGATAAAGTTCATTATTATCGACCATTTTAAAATAAATCTACTCATAATAATAAATTCATTTTTTTCTTTGATTTTTTTATAGTTGACAGTTTAATTTTAAACAGTCAGTCTGATAAAAACAGGCAGAAAAGAACCAAAACATTTTCCAGCTATGTTCTAACATTCAAGCCTTAAAAAAAAGGACAGTAATCACTAGAGACACTGTTAAGTGTTACTACTGAATGAGCAGAAAACCGGACACAAAAATGTTACATTATTCCTTACATTTTGTTGACTTATTGTTTCACCATTGTACTTACTAGTCTTGAAACGAACCGGTTCATCATGAATATTTTCCACCGTTTTAACCGTACTAAAGATTTCCTATATACTAAAGCATCATGGGAACTTGCTTATCTGTTTCTGTGAAAGAAATCGACAAATGTTGCATGAATTACCTTCCCACGAAACACAGTACGTGTTTTCTATATACCACCTACCTGGAGTGAATGTGCCGAATTGATTGGTAAACAGCTAGAGGGTTTAGTAAGAGGAGTATATACCCGTCTAGAGTGTAGGGTAGGTTTAATAATCTTCCATTAGAAAGCTCAAATTTTGATGCTTTGTCTTCACGACGATCAAAGATTTTTAGTCCAACTCATATTCAATGGTCGAAGATCATGTTCTATTCTTTCTTTACGTGTTCACGGTTGAAGATGTTGTGGTAATGGACTCACCTTCTGGTCAAGAACTGTTTTCTTAACTTAGTGACAAGATATTTTAGGATTCTAAGTTGGAATTATTCCCGGAAATGGAAGATGATGATGATGCCTACCTCCGGCACCTTCCGTGTCATTTTCTATTCTAGGGAAGAATTTTCCCTCAGAATCTCTTGTCACTAAGTTGGAATTATTCCCGGAAATGGAAGATGATGATGATGCCTACCTCCGGCACCTTCCGTGTCATTTTCTATTCTAGGGAAGAATTTTCCCTCAGAATCTCTTGTCACTAAGTTGGGAAAACAACTCTTCATCAGAAGACGAGCGCATTGCCACTACATCTTCAATTGTGAAAAGTCTCCCCCCCCCAGGTGGGACAGCGGTACGTCTTCGGATTTACAATGCTAAAATCAGGGGTTCGATTCCCCTCGGTGGGCATAGCAGATAGTCCAATGTGACTTTGTTATAAGAAACCACACACACACACACATCCTTCAATTGTGAAAATGCAAAGAAAAAAGAGAACATGAGCTTGTTGATAAAGTTAACGAAGCTAAGCTGAAATTTGTATTTGTAGTGTTTTATAAGAAAATGTACCCGTTCCATCTCATAGAAAACAAAAATTGTTTATGGTTGTAGGAGCTTGCATCTGCTTAAGTTTTTCATACGCTGTTATATTTACAACATGAATATGTTTGTACTTTAAGTTTATATCAGGTGGTTAAAAATTAAAAGAAAAATTCAACAACACAATCACGTCTGCTAAGAAGACGTTAACTTTATGCACTGGCCACTGTCTTCAGTTACAATGACAGTATTAGTTAAATTGTAACCGAAATATAAGTTAATTGGCGAAACCAACATTTGCGAACGCATTTCTCTAACTTTTTAAAGAATTACGAATAAAAGTCTCAATTCTTACCCAAGGGTAGTCATGGTGACAATGGTGTACCAAAAAGCTGATGGGATGCTGGTGAAGTTTGTATCCGTGACGTTCTTCTCAGCATAGAACATCACAGTGGCAAATATGACAATAGCCATCGCAAGAGAGAACACCAGAAAGCCGAGTTCAGAGGCGCAGCTTTTCAAGGTGTAACCAAGGATCCGTAGCCCCTGCGAGTGTCTGGAAAACTTGAAGATTCGAAACACCCGAAACACCCTTAGAGTAACGAAGGCTCCAGAGAGGTCCTCGTTATTGGTCATCCCCAGACTTATGTAGTAGGGCAAGATGGCGACCACGTCAATAACGGACATAACACTTCTCATAAAGTAACACCTGTTCGGAGCTGCATACAAACGTAACAGATACTCAGCGGTGAAGATCATAACACAAGCCGTGTCCAGACAGAAAAATGCCGTTTTATAAATATCGCCACAAGAGGTGCTTTCACTGGTGTCTGGATCCATGTTACAAGGGATGGTCTCTATAACATTAGCCATAACCGACACAGCGATAAAAAACCCTGTTACATAGTAAAACACTAGAGCCGCTGTGCTGGTATGAGGGTTCTCGAACGCCCTCCACATTTTCTCACGAATTGTATAATTGGATGTGTCATTAGGTTCGTTAGCTTCGGACAGTTTGTCGTCCATGATTCGCTCGGCGTTTTCCCGTTTTTTGTCTCTATAGTCCTCGTAACAACAATCCCCGATGACGTCCGGGATGATGCCGAAGAAAGCCAACTCCTCGTCGTATGCCATGAGACACTCGTGTTTAGGGAAATGAAGTTTACCTGTACGATAATAATTCAAAACATGTCGAAATAGAAAAGGATCGCGATCAAAAAAATACTCCTGGTTTTCTTCATCGAAGAAAAATTCCCTTTCGTTTGAGCCGAGCAGCGTGTCAGAATATTTCTCTACTGTGTTCCGCCACGTTTGGAAACGTCTTCCACTGACATTAATAGTAAACTTTTCATCTTCTTTTCTGCTTTTATCTCTCGTTACTGGCGGAGCTGGGAGAGGGTTATTAGCAATCGGCACCCAACCGATGGCAGCCGCACGGGCGAACGGAAGCCACGCGGCGACAGAAGCCATTGTTCCCGCGTCTCACCTTGGACGACGTCCGCCGCTTATGATTACTTGACTGCCGAAACTCCTTTGCGGCACAATCACAAAAAAAAACACGCACGCGCGCCACGAGGAAACGTACTACTATACTTAGTGACGATGAAGTTTTAGGTAGACACAAGGAAATCCATACTGATTGGTTATTATACAAACTTAAAAGAGAGTTATCATATGGTGATCTTGTTTGTTTTCCGGCCTTTTAACATAGAAATTGTAATGTATGATGAACAACAGTAGGCCGTAACGTTAACGAACCTCCGCTCGTTTACTGTGTATTGTTTGTATTATGTTGAGCATAATACTGTTTGCAGCCTCGTTCTGAACGTCAAGCGGAAGTAAAGCTCTAATGAATACATTCAAGCTATAACTTTTAAGCCCCTTAATATTAGACTAACTGGTGACAAGGAGCCGTTCATATACATAATTAGCATTGTCAAATGAAAAAAAATATGTCTTAGTCGTAAGTATTCATCCATCACCTTTCCAACCTGGTGCAACAGAGAAGTTGGGTTTGTCACAGGACACTGTATACTTAGGTATAAACACGATGCAAAAGCACGTTGGAGATGGCCTTACGCCTCATCCAGTCCCGGCGGTCACCATAGTGACGATGACGTCAAGGCCAACCGTTCTAATAGGTGAGGCTACGTACGCGCCCTCTTTTGATTTTATTAATACTATTTTCTTAAACTTTTCCATGTTTTGAGGATTAATTATGCACAGCGTTAACACATACGCATTACGAGACTGTAATAGAACACTAACTTGAAGAGTACAGTTTGTCTGTTACTGATTTCAGCTTTCGGAGGTAAGTAAGTGTGGCCTAAATGATAACATAGTTGTGATTATTTTCTTAACAAAAGTGTGCTGTTGATTCAGACTAAATTGTGCTAACCTAACGAATGATGTGCCTTGGTAAATTGTCTGTTCTCGATAATGTACTCCTGCTTTCGGATTATATTAAGTTAATTCTCTCTTTCCATTGACGTATATTCGTACATATGAGTCATCTCTAATATAGTATACTACTTAATTAATGCATAAAATGTAGGAATGGTGAATTATGCCTTGCATCATAAATTGTGTTTGTTTTGATCTTATAGCAAAACGAAATGATTGCTTAGTGTTGACACTGAGTTTAACAGTGCTTATGACCTTTTATTAGTACTCCAGTGGCACAGTGATAGAAACCGGGTTTCGATACCTGTGGTGGGCAGAGCACAGATAGCCTTTTCTGTAGCTTTGTGCTTCATAACAAACACACGATGACGTCTTATTGCAAATTGTTTTAACTCGTAATCGTTTTGGTAACACATTCAGTACTGTTATATTAAGAAGAGGAAATCCTCAATAGCTGCGGCACTTGAAATTCTTTTAGACAGGATTAGAGTAAATTAATTTATGAGACCATTTTTTCATTAGCTACATTTTTGTGCGCTAGCAATACTAAGCGTGGGGCGCGCGTATACCTGATTCGATTTTATTACTCATTAGGGCTTTTACCTACCTACCCTCAAATTGAAATTACATTAGAGAGGACTAGAGTAACTTGAGCCTGGTCAAATATATCAATCGAAAGGGTTTGACCTCCTGGGTCCAAAACTGTAATTAGCTTTCAAATCGGTCAAGAGATGGTATGGCTGTGAACTAAAAGTTTGTACTTAAAAAACTCAGAGCCATTTTATGAGCCGTTTTGCCGCGACTAAAAATAGATATCGGAAATAGAATTGAATATTTGTAACTTATTAAAAACTTGATAAGCTTAACACGATAACATGATGGAGATTCTAAGTACGTAGTAAAACATTTCTTTTTTTTTGTAGGAGTACACACAAAATTATTACAGAAGAACAGAAATAAATTTATTCTTCAAGTTCATTCTGCTAACAACTGTTTAAGAAACGTGAAATGCACGAGGGGTATGTTCACTAAGTTTGAAAACTTGTTGGACGTTAAGCAAATAGAAATAAAAGTTTTCAATTTGAAACTAAAAAAAAATAACAACGTTTAATATTTCAAAGATTACGTTCAATAGACTTAGCAGTTATTGTTGGAGTAGTACTGAAAGATTTACTTTTCAATTTTGAAAGAGAAACTACAGTACATCAACTAAAGAGGATATCTGATTTTCCATGTGAAGAAATGACATCAACTAAAGAGGACATCTGATTTTCCATGTGAAGAAATGACATCAACTAAAGAGGATATGATTTTCCATGTGAAGAAATGACATCAACTAAAGAAGACATCTGATTTTCCATGTGAAGAAATGACATCAACTAAAGAGGACATCTGATTTTCCATGTGAAGAAATGAGTGGAATCAAAATATATTACTTAGTCTCTGCTAAAGGAGTGTGTTAATTTTGGTACTTCCTTACCAGATCTCCGAGTTATACAAGTTAATTTAAAATTACCACCTATAGAAACGACGAAATAGTTATGTAGTTAGAAATTACGTTTGGAATACTTTCCCCTGAAGAAGGGCACCGTTAGTCCTCGAAACTTAGGAAGAAATTTCTTTTACTTGCGGTTTTATTGTTAAACTGGTGAATTTTGAATAAAAGTGTTACTAAGGGCCTTCCCAAATCACTCGAATTATCGGGTTTCTTGTATTTCAATTTATCTTCTTTTTTTATCGATCGTGCTTTCAAAGTTTCGTTAAAATCCATGGCCTTGGTGTGATTCCGCTTTCGCACTTTGGGACTCCCCTATGTCCAGGCCGTGTGTGACTTAGTGGGTAACCTACCAGGCTACATACTTTAAAGTCCAACGTTCGAGCCCTCGATTCGCCGCTGAACACGCTGCGCAATTTTAGCTGTGGGTGCATAATCTAAAAGTAATAGCCACTCTTGCTGTTTGGAAAAGCCAGAATCTTGGAGTCTTTGATTTGGTCTTTTACTCTACAGGTGTCGTTTAAGATGCTTTTCAGGTAGAAAATAGCAATAGCGATTTCGATATTCCGTTTAAAGTTTGACTTGCTTGGAGATAACTTGTTCTCTCTTCATCAGCACACTTGTTGAAAATTGACTCTTAGAGCGTAAAAAATCCGTGTATGACATAAAAGAACTGTTTACTATAAGCGAGCATTTCTCCAAATGGAGGGTTTATTTTGATAAATACATGCATAAAACTTCGATTCTGAATTTTGTTTTTCAGAAATTAAAGGAAATTGCTATATTTTTACATCATAAATAATAATGCCTACTTCATTTAGAGAATAAGAATCAAAGAAGGAAAATTATAAAAGTAGCTCACAGTTTCGAAAATTAAAAGCATAACTCAAACTAAAGTGAAAAAAAGAGATGGATACCACTTTTATTGAAACAATAGATCTAAATGCAAGAACAAAAAAAGGGCTAATAACATTTTCCTTGATTACTTTTATTTTTTAGCCTAAGTAGCTCCGTTTACTCTTCTAACTACCACACTTTAATAAAAATAAATAAAGGCATTTAGTTAACCCACAAGAAAAGGCAGTCAGTGAGCAGCATCTTACCACCCACCATTTACACTAAAGGATTGACTGCCACTCTTATAATGCACACATAGTTTATAGTGTTTGTGGAATATTTTATGGTGTAAACACGGATTGAATTCCGACTCACCAGCTCCGAAATCCAAAGCTTTACCATAGAGCCGATCAGCGCCCAAACTCATAAGGAAATTCTGCTATTTTAATATTTAGTATTTTCTTTATTTATCGAAATAGTTTGTTTCAATAAAAACACAGAGACAAAATGCACTTTCAATTCTTGATAACACAATTATAACGATATTGCTTATTTTGAAAAGCAAGCATATTTTAAGGGAAACTTTAGCACACAGCTTCATCCAGTTGCTGTTCAGAAAAGTGTTCATATGATTCAATTAATCGTATAGAAAATATGACAAAAGTACATATTCTATATAAGCTTCAGCCATTGTCGTGATAAGACCTTGCTAAGCTGCTGAAAGGTAGTGAATACAACAAAGTGCAAAATCTTAACATAACATAACGTTTTGGTACAACATTGGACCTATTGGTCCATCTAGGCTGTTCCATCTTCTAAACTAAACTAAAAGGATTAATAAATAAGGGCTGGCTTTAAGATTTTTAAATAAAATCTTAAAGCCAGCCCTTATCATTTATATACTTATCAAGCTTTCTCTTAAACTTACTTAAATTTACTGCTTCCACAACATTCGAAGGCAACCCATTCCAAAGGCCAACCACCCTGTTAGAAAAATAAAACTGTCTTACCTGAAGATGACTCCTACACTGCCAAAATTTAGATTTGTGTTCCCTAGTTCTACTATTCTCACTGTTCAATATAAAAAAGGTGATGCATCAACACTATCAATTCCCTTTACAATCTTAAACACCTCACCAGATCCCCCCTAACTCTTTGAGAGATTTTCTTCTCTCCTCGTATGACAACCCCCTCCATCCCAGGCACCATTCTAGCGACCCTTCTTTAAACCCTTTCCAACAATTCAATGTCTTTCCTAAGGTAAGGAGCCCAAACCTGAACACAATACTCTCAATATGACCGAACCAGTGACCTATACAATAAAATTATAACTTCTTTAAACTTTTATTCAATGTTTCTGTAGACACAAACTGATATCCTATTTGCCCTACCATTAAATAACAACAAGCTGTTTGAATGGCTTAAGTAAAAGATCAATTAGAACACTAAATTATTTTTTTCCATAACACTTTTAAGGTTATTCCCATCCAAATTATACTTATAATTCAAATTATAATAACCCACATGCATTATCTTGCATTTATTATAATTAAAACCCATTTTTCATTTATTTGCCCAACTTACTAAATGATCTAAACCCTTTTGTAAATCAGTACCATCCTCTTCACAGCAATCAACACCCAAAACCTTAATATCATCTGTAAACTTAAGTAATTTATTGACCATTCCTTTAACGATATCATTGATATATATCAAAAAGAGCAAAGGTCCTAAGACTGAGCCCTGAGGCACCTTACTTGTGACATTAATCCAGTTTGACTGAACTCCATTTGTAACTTCCCTCTACTTTCTTCCATCCAGCCACTCTACTATCCCGTTTGCTAACTTATCCTCCACACCTATAGAGATATTTTTTACAAGCCTTTTATGTGGCACCTTGTCAAATGCTTTCTGAAAATCAGATATTCAAAATCTGCATTCTTACCCTCATCTACACAAACAGTAATATTTTCAAAGAATATCAAAAGATTTGTAAGACATGATTTTTTCTTTATGAAACCATGTTGACTATCCAATAAGATTCTATATTTTGGGAAATGACTTTTCAAAGCATCTTTTATCAGACTTTCTAAAACTTTTCCCACTAGTGGGTCTATAATTACTGGGACAATTTTTCTCACCTTCCTTGAAAAGAGGAGTTACATTAGCTAACTTCTAATCCTCTGGTACCTGCCCATTATTCAAGGAATGACAAAAAATAGTAGCAAATGGCTCCCATATCCAATCTTTAACCTCCCTCAAAACTGTTGGGAAAATATT